TAGATAGATAGATAGATAGATAGATAGATATAGATGATAGGTAGATAGATAGATAGATAGATAGATAGATAGATAGATAGATAGATAGATAGATAGATAGGGAGGTAGATAGGGAGATAGATAGATAGATAGATAGATAGATAGATAGATAGATAGATAGATAGATAGATAGATAGATGACTGACAGAGATTAGAGATACTGGCGTAAGATCACTCTGGATGCTCACTTAAAGCCTTCAGAACACTGCAAACACATGTGTCTGTCGGTGGTGTGGGAAGGGAACATGGAAGGGCCACTCTATCTAGGCCCTGCTGGAGCTCAGCCCTTGGGTATGTTGTGTGTTACTCTCTTTACTGTTCTTGCAAGAGGAGTCTCCCTGTCCTGTTATCCCATGAGCAAAGGAGCTCTCCCATTGGCTTCTAAGGCCTCCAGGCTTTTCGTTAATTAGTATTTTCTTTGCTAACATAGAATAGTCTCTTAAAGATGTACAATCCCACCCAACATAGAAGACAAGTAATAATATCTTTTAAAATAAAGTCATATCCGCCCTATCATTTGGGGGTAATTAGTCCATTTTCAGTCTCCAACATCCTGGCACCTGAGTTTTCTCACAGCTTCATCATCAAACTCTTGGTCTGGTTTTTGTGATTCTGTGAGCAGATCAGCTGTGGGCCACGGCTCAGTGCACATGTGTGGGCCCCCAGCTCCATGCACATGTGTGGGCCAGCGGCTTCGTGCATATCTTAGCTCAACGTCTTCATTTAAGCCCAATCCTGGTACTGATCTGCTCTCTAACTTGAGAAGTCACCACCTTAAATTGCAAGCCAAATGAACCCCCTCTCCTCTAAGCTGCTTTTGTCTGGGTGTTTTATTGCAGCAACAGAAATTAAGCCAGAGCCCTTGTTGTTCTCATTTTAAAGCTGCTTGTTGAAATGACTCCGTGGGCCAATGTGGATAAGGCTGTCGGCACAGGAGAACCACAGAGCATGCCACACTGCTCTGAGTTGTTAACTCTTCAAAGTCACATACGGCTTTGGGAGTCAAGTTCTCTGGATGACAATTCCACAGGCTTTATATGATGTCATCCATTTTCAATAGTTTAAGCACCTTCTCAGGGCCATGTCTCATGTGAGTACACACACACACACACACACACACACACACATATGCTGGGGATGTCTTTCTGTATGTGTTGCTCTGGTTGATTGATAAATAAAATGCTGATTGGCCAGTAGCCAGGCAGGAAGTATAGTATAGGCAGAATAAGGAGAGAGCAGAATTCTGGGAAGTGGAAGGCTGAGTCAGGACACTGCTGGATGCTGCCAGATGCTGCCATGAGAAGATGTAAAGTACTGGTAAGCCACAAGCCACATGGCAACTTAAAGATTAATAGAAATGGGTTAATTTAAGATGTAAGATCTAACTAGCAAGAAGCCTGCCATGGCCATACAGTTTATAAGTAATATAAGTCTCTGTGTGTTTACTTGGTTGGGTCTGAGTGGGACTGGAGAAAACTCCAGCTACACACACACACACACACACACACACACACACACATCCACTTACTGTCTGGTGAAGCTGGAGCCCTTGGCTTTCCAGACTGCAGCTCATCCATGAAGCACTTTCATTTTGGGGTCCACTCTGCTTTTGACAATCATTTGAAATGATACATGAGGCTCCTGACCTCAGCAGCTCCTTCCCAAGGCAGATCATCAAGGCCCTCTGCCTCTTCACGGGCGCTGGTCTGTGCTTTGCTGTTTGTTGCAGTTTTTGTCTTTTGTATTTTGAATTCTTTTGTACCTAACTAGTTCTCTTTTCAAGTACAGAATTTTACTTTCAACTGATTTTGAATTCAAATCTCTGAGCCCAAACAGGACAACTAAGTTGAGTTCTGACTTAGTTTATTTTCTATTGATGTGATAAAAACACCATAACCAATGCAACTTGGGAAAGAAAGTATTTAATTTAGTGGTTACTGTTACAGAGGGTGAGTCCTGTCCAGCATGGCAGGGAGCATGGAAGCAGGCAGGCAGGCAGGCTCTGAAGAGACCAACCACAAGGCAGAGAGAGAGAACTGACAGGGAATGGCATGGGCTTCTCAAACCTCAAAGCCCAATCCCAGTGACACACCTCCTCCAACAAGACCACACCTCTTAATCCTCCCCAAACAGTTCCGTCAGCTGGGAATTGAGGATTCAGATATATGAGCCTGTGGGGCCCATTCTCATTCAAACCGTCCCAAGTTGCCTTAAAGGAAAGAACCCTGCACTTGGTGACACGGAGGTAACAATACCACATCCACCGTCTCATTGGATCTCATAGCACTAACGTGACACGTTGTCATCATTATCATTTTAGGGGTGTGTAGCTGGAAGGTTTTCCTATGTCCCGTTCGGTGTACAGCTGCTCAGATCCAAGTAAACACACAGAGGCTTATGTTAATTAAAACTGCTTGGCCATTAGCTCAGGCCTACCACTGACTAGCTCTTACACTTAAACTCAGCCCATTTCTGTTAATTTATATGTCACCATGTGTTCCGTGGCTTTACCTGTGTGCCACTACTTGCTGCTCCCTGGATGACAGGCTGGTGTCTCCTCACTTAGCCTCCCTCTTCCCAGGGCTTATCTGGGATTTATGGCTGCAGAGGGTAAGAGTTCATCACCACCACAGTGAAGAAGCAAGCGGGTGGCAGCCAACGGGCTTGGCAACTGGAACAGCAGAGAACTCACATCTACAGGCAGGAATCAGAGAACTAGCTGGAGACGGCACCTCAAAGCCCACCCCAGGGATGCACTTCCAGCAAGGCCACACCTCTGAAGCCTCCCCAGACACCACCACCTGTGGACCTAGCAGTCAAATGTCAAAGA